GCTAGACAAAATGCAGTAAGTGCAGGTTTTGCTAAGAGTCTTGTTAAATCCAAAGGGAAACCCAAGGGTGGTAACAAGAACAAAATGACTTGGTTATCAGTTGTCAAGCCAGTTGCAATGAAGAAGCCGAAAGGCAAGTGCTTCAAGTGCAGGCTGAAGGGACATTTGATGAAAAATTGCCCAGAGGTGATAAAAAGAAAAAGGTAAGGGTAATTTAAAAGGCTTAATTAATGGATGAATCTATGATTCAGGAACCACTAACTATGTTTGTTGCTCTTAGCAGTGGTTCAAGCATAGAGAGCCTATTACCATTGGACAAAGATATTTTAAGCTTGAAGATAGGGAGCTTGTGTCTGCATTAGCAGTAGAAGAAGTTATTTTATCTTTTGATAATTTATGACTTTAGTTTTGAATGACTGTTTAATTATTCCGGATTTGAAGAGAAATTTTATTTTTGTTAGTTGTTTTGTGAAAACATGGTTTAATAGTACAATTTAATTCCTCAGTTTCAATAAGAAGTTCATCTTATTTTATTCCGGTATATTAAATTGTCTTTATTACTTGAGTTATATATCCCATTTAATTTATTATGTTGAATGGTAAGGATGATGAACAAGGATTTTCACCAAAGAAATAAAAGTTTCAAATGAAACATAACTTTGACCTTTGTGATTCAGTCACATTACCTCAAGTAGGAAACATGTTTTAGTTAAAAGAGGGACTGAAAGTTCAAGAATCTTTTAAACTAAAAGCTACATGTTAGTCCTATTTGGAAGGTAAAATGGCCAAGCAATCCTACAAGGGGCCAAAAAGATTTGCGCAACTATTCAATTGGAACTGGTACATACTAATGTATGTGGACCAATTAGCGTTCAAGCCAGAAGGGGTGATGAGTACTTAATTATATGAATGTTTACTCAGGATTTGGACAGATCAACCAAGTGCGCCATAAGTCTAAAGCTTTTGGAAATTTTCAAGAGGTTTAAGTCTGAGGCAGAAAAGCATGTAGGTGTTCAAATCAAAACACTTTGGTCTGACCAAAGTGTTTTGGCTACCTGTCTGGTAAGTTCAAGTCTTACCTGATTTAAGAGGGGAAAGTTTTTCGTAACTGTCAATTCTGAGAACGCGTTAGTTGAATGAAGTTGCAGTATGCAAAAGTCAAACATTTTAGACTTGGTGAAGATCATGTTCAGTTATTCATCTTTGCCAATGTTGTTCAAGGGAGATGCCTAAGAGAAGGAAATGTACCTTCTTAACTTGGTTCTGTCAAAGTTTGTTGTAAAGACACCTAAAGAATTATGGAAAGGGTGCAAGCCCAGATCAAACCATATTCGAATTTAGGGTGCTTCGGCACACGTCCTACAACAGCAGTCAAATAAGATGGAATTTTGTATGGAAGAGTGCATATCTTTTGGCTACTCTAAGAAAACTAGGGATGATTTCTTATTTAGTCTTAAGGACAAGATAATCTAAGTGAGGACTCACATGATTTTCTTAAATGAGGAGTAGATGAGAAATTATAAGCTCTTAAGTAAGGTTATTCTTGATGAGATTTATCTCAGATCAAGAATTTCCAGAATCTCTAGAAGCTTCATCCACTGTTCCCTTGATTGTTCAAGAGGGGATAAATATATCTCTAGGTGAACAAACAAGAGAACCGTAATTGGAAATTCAACACGATAATATATAAGTGAAACTAGTAAAAATATTAGTATCACATGTGGAGGAACAATATCAAGAATAATTGGATCCTCAAGAAATTGAAGATCCACCATTTGACCCACTCTTTATTTTACCTATAAATACACAAGGTCTAGTGCAGTACATTCGTAGTGGGAGAGAACCCTGTTAACTCTCAAGTTGTCTCTTCTTGAGTGACATTGATCCTACTAGTTACGATAATGCACTAGAAGATGTTGTTGATCAAGTGTTGCTCAAGCTATGAACAATGAGATGAAATACTTGTATTTAAACTCTGTTCGGTCCTAGTAAAGACACCAAGAGGGGTAAAACCCACAAGGTGCATGTGGACATAAAAGGGAAAGAGAGGATGGACAGGAAGGTGAAAACCTTCAAAGCTAGCTTGGAGGCAATTTTTGTCAGACGCCATGCTTGAGTCTATCTGATTCTCTTAGTTGCTATAAGTCTCAATTATGAGATTTCATTTTGGGAGTTAGATGTCGGGATATCTACATACAACAACCAAAATGGTTTATAGCAAATGGGTAGGAACACGTGGTATGCAAGTTGTGAAAGTCTATTTCATAGAATTAAGCAAACATCCAGGTCTTGGAACATCAGTTTTGATCGGGTTATCAAATTTTTGTTTTTGAGAGAAACTTGATGAATGATGTGTATTTGTATGTAAAGGATCCAACGGAAGACAGTAGCTTTTCTGGTACTTTATGTAGATGATATGTTCCTTATTGGAAACAACGTGGAGGTAATATCAAGCATAAAGAGTTGGCTAAGTTAGTGTTTTGGTATGGAAGTACTGGGGAAGTCAATTATATTCTTGGTATAAAACTCTTATGAGACCAGAAGAATAAGTTGTTGGCATCACCTCAGGCTACTTACATTGACAAAAATCTTGCCAAAATTCAATATGAGAATTCTAAGAGAAGAATTATAAATTCTCAGATATGAAATTCATCTTCCTAAGGAGTAAACAAAAGACTCCTAAGAAGGAAGAATGCATGAGCAGGATATCTTATGCTTTGGCAAAGGTAGACTCATGCATATCATGTTGGACGTTAAACCAGACATCTGTCACGCAGTGGGAGTAGTGAGACAGTACTATTTTGAACCTAGAGGAATACTAGATTATTGTTAAGCATGTACTCAAGTATCTTTGGAGAACGAGAGATTATATGCTGGTATATTCTACTGGGAGTCTTGAAAAGCTGAGTTTTCACAAATTCAGTTATTTCAAGTGGATATTAACTCAAGAAATCAACCTCGAGCTATGAGTTTTTCACTAAACTCAGATAGCATTAGAGGTGGATCTTGTAGACCCAGTTACTAAGAGTTTGTCTGAACTTGTGTTCGAGAGGCATGTTGCTTCTTTGGGTCTTAGGAAGATCCCAGACTTGCATTAAGCAAATGAGAGTTTTTGATTTCATTGTGCTCTTGGAGTAAGACGATGAAACAATGAAATCATTTTCTGAATTTCATAAATAAGGTTTTATTTATTTATTTTGCGCACTATTTACAAACATCAAGGTCCGGATCAAATTGTGCAGTATATGATCACATGGATACGTTCATGGAGGACATGATCATAGGTTCTCACAATTGATGAATGGATTCACAACTGTTAAATAAAGTTGGACACTTTATTTAGGCTGCAATATTTTATGAAATGGTTTTGTCTGAATCATTATAAAATATTGGTGTGAATTAACATTCACATTGAAAGGATCAAGAAGAGATTTGATTAAGGTTGTTTTTCTGGCATAAGATATCAAATCTCCAGTTAACTATAGTTGTGTAATTGCTCTTAATCCTGAGTTTGTTATAAATAGGTAATCAAATAGTTTTCATTCTTTGATTTATCAACGGGTGAGGTTCGATCTATTGACGGCCAATAACTCGGTATTTTGGGAGTGAGATTATTTGATTATCGGTATTTATGAGATAAACAACATGAAATTTGTAGGATATATCCCCTTGATATGTTTCGGTACTTGGATATTAAAGACACTGGCCAGTGCATGTAATCCATTAGAGAAACTATCATAGTCAAGGGAATAAATAATTGATTGAGTTACAGAAAACTTGTCAATCAATTATAGACATTCTACAAAGGGGCGATGCATATTCATGTTATAAAGGTCATTAATCTTGGAGTTCACGTTCGGACTTTTAGTGGAGTAGCGCCGAATTAGATAATCTTTCAAAGATTATCAGGAGCCTTGATGAGTGACAAATGGTAGATCCCCAGGCTAGCTCGAGACAAGGGATGAGTTGTATAATCAGATGATGATGGCTTATGGGCTACATAGTCTTGGGTTTATGAACTCAAGTTTGTGTCCAAAAGAGCAAGTAGGAGATTGTTGGGTTTAGTATGCTCTTTTCACTTAAGCCCAATAACTTTAGTGAGAGTGAGCCCAAAGTCCAATTTTAACCAATGAAGCTTAGGGTTAGTTTTGGATTGGTCAGAGTATATAAACTCTCTTTTCTTCTAGTGCCTCTTAGAGGGTTACTAACATCAGCAACACAACCAAAGAGGCAGATATTCATCATCTGAACGGTTGCCCACACGACCCCCTGATCCCCTTGAGTCATAGCCTGGAAGATCGACCGTAGAGCGGAATTGCGACCGTTCGTGGTGCGTTGCTGCAAGATAGATCGTGAGGCTTGAGAAGGAGAACTAAAGGTGAGAAATCGTCACGCTCACTTCTTCACCCCAGGTAATCAAAGCGGTGTCTTCATTCCTCATCGCATCGGTACGATGCGCTTCCGCGTTTCTGATGATATACCTTCAAATAGATGAAAATATCCTCCATAGCATAATTTTATATATTTTTAAATTTCCTTTTTCTTTTAACACAGATTGGTATAACTCAACCTAGAACATAAGCTTTTGCTTACAATTCTATTTGATCTTGTGGGAATTTAAGGTTCGAATTTCATTCCAGAAAAACAATGTTACATTTGCTCGACGAATGCTGGGAATTGGTGTTGAGATTCATGAACAACCATTGTTACTTTGACCACCCTGTTACAATGATGTATATATAGATGGAAAACCCACACAGGGTGGATTTGCTGAAACCATGGTCATTGAGCGGAAGTAATAAAACTCAATTTTCATTAGTTGTTTCAAAATTAAAGTTCCCTGCTTTATCCAATTAAGTTGTTCTAATTAATACGTAGCTTGAAGCCTCAACTCTTCTATTCAATATTCTAATACACGTTTAATATAATGATAAAACATCATGATATTTTTTCTATTCTGAATGAATATCTTATTGATATCAGTAAACATATTGGGGTTATAGCCACATTTGATGCTAATATCTCTGCATGAACTGGCTCATCTGGCTCTGAAGCAAGCGAGTTGCATTAGATTTTGGATCCAATACATGAAACACATGTTTCTCTTCCTTAGCCTCCACAAGCTTCACCTCATTTACCCCTTTCTTCTGCATAAACTCTGCATACATGACTCCCCTTTCCTTCAAAAAGTCACTGCCAGCAACATAAACCTCAATAGCTGGGAATTTAGACCATACACTTTCAGACAAGTTTGCTTTCTCAAAATTACAACCAAAATAGTCACGGTTTGAGCCTTCAGGTATACTTAGCCTCCAAAACATGTCATTCATGGCTACATCTCCAGCACCCTCATCCCCCATCTCTTTCTCAGTCCTATTCTCACTCCCAAAGTAAGGATGTATAGGCATTAACCCTTTGATTTTCAAAGGACACCCATTATTCTGAATGGCCTTCAAAGCAACATGATGCACAATGTTACCTCCAGCACTGTCCCCAGAGAGAAAAACCCTTGATATGTCAGCTTTTTGAAGCAAGGGTTCAGAGGTTACTTGATCACCAAGCCATTGAAGTGAGGTGTAACAATCTTCATAAGCAATGGGAAGGCGATGCTCTGGAGCCAAACGGTAATCAACAGAAAGAACAATGGATTGGGATGTGACAGAGAAATCACCAAGGAAATGATGGTAGCCAAGCCATGTGGTGGAGCCAATGCAAAAGCCACCACCATGGAAATAAACCAAGAGGGGTAGCTTTTTCTCTGAGATGGTGTTGGGAGAATCAGGAATGAAGAGCCTACCAGTGATGGGTTTTGATGGGTCAATGATCACATCTTTGGACTTGTATCCATTGGATGATGAATCTAAAGAGGCTGGTGCAGTTTCAGGGTCAAAGCGTTTCACAATACCATCAGAATATACTTGAAGAAAGTCTGGTGCTTCTGCTATTAAAGACATTTTGCTTAGGATCAATGAAGCAGGTTAATTACAAAAGACAGAAAATGCTTCAAATGGTGATGTTCGTGATCTCTATCTAAAGTGGGGATTTTATACATAAGCTAGAAGAATTAAAATAATGTGTATATCTTGGTGTTTGCATTTGTGGTTGGCCAACATATATAGTAGATGTTGTTTGGTTGGTCATGTAAATTGCATTGTGCTATTAATTGTAAAAAGTTGAGTTTTCTTGGTTGTTGCTGATCAAAAAAAAGAAGGGAAAAAAGAAACTGCTTATGCTTAATAAAGGTGAAAAAATATCAGATACATTGCACGCGCCAGGTAGGGGTCGAACCTACGACTTTCTGCTTAGGAAACAGACGCTCTATCCACTGAGCTACAGGCGCTGGCTGTTAGGTTCTGAGGACAATATATATTCGATTCTCATTATGAACAAGGATTTGCACCAAAGAAAGTTTCCTTATACATAATTTGTTGCGGAGCAAAATACTACTGTTGGATGCACAAGGTATTATAAATTATTATACTCTTAGAAAAAATTTCGGTATTAAAAAAATATAATGTAATATGAAGGATGAAGTTGAAAATGATACAAATTAAAATTAAAATTTCTGTTTTATTTGAAAATTTTGTAAGCAGTAAAAATATTTGTAAAAAATTATAAATTATCCTGTTTATTTTATTTCTTTAGTTAGAAATTTAAAATAATAAATGAAATGTTTAATTTTTGAATTTTGAATTTTCTTTCGACATAGTTATAGAGTATTTATTTTCATTTTAATTATTTCTGTAATGAGCTTATATTTAATTTTTTGCATGATGTAAATTCATTATTTAAGGATATATGCATTTTTGGTACCTAGGAAAAAAATAAAAAATAATACTAATTGAATTTAAATTTAATTATATTTAATTTAAAATATGTAAAAATTACCAATTTTTGTTATTTATAAGATATTATGATATTTTATACTATCCCATGTGTCGCACAGATATTAACAAACACAGTAATTTTATTATAATACATTATCTCACAGTAACTGTTTTGATTGCAGTTACTAAAGTTACTCTCTCTCTCTCTTTCTTTCTTTTTAAAATTCAAGTCTGCTCAAGTTGTTATTTGTAGATGTTACTTTTATTTGTTCTTTTTGCTCAAGTTGTTATTTGTAGATGTTACTTTATTTTGTTCTTTTTGCTCAAGTTAATCATCAGTGATAATAATTTACTTCTTCACCTTCTTCTCATGTATAAAATGAAACTATTTGTTACAAGTTCTTATAAAAAATTTCAGTTGGTACTCACACTTCAAGTGAAAATTCTAGTATTTCACTACACAATTACTACGTATAGATAGATGTTGAGTTTATTCGTCATTTCCAACATTTTTGGATGATTTTTTTAATTACTACACTTTTTAACTATATTGTATTAATTCATATTTTGGATTTCCAAGTTATTTTAAGAGGAATCTTACCCAGAGATTAAGTGTTAGGAGTCCCACATTCATTGTGTAAGCAACTAGTGTGGGATTTATAAAGTCTTGGACGCTCTCACCCTTTGAGCTAGCTTTTAGAGTGGTGATCTCATGGGTCCCTATCATTTGGTGCTCTCGTTGAGAGTTGGACCGCGGAAAGGGCTACCTGATAGGTGGGTGAAGCCTCCCAAAAAGGAAAAGGGCTACCACCGGGTTAGAGTGAAAGTTGCCGTGGACGTCGGCTTTAAAGGAGGTGGTAATGTTAGGAGTCCCACATTGATTGTGTAGACAACTAGTGTGGGATTTATAAGACCTTTAACACTCCCACCTTTTGAGCTAGTTTTTAGGAGGGTGATCCTATAGGTCCCTATTATTAAGCCATGCTGAAAAAAGTTCTAAACAATGCTAGTCAAAATCATGACGTCCAAATTTTGAGTCATTCTTCTAGTACCTTTTGTCACTGTCAAATGTCAATGTTTCTGTACGTATACAAGCAAATTTCTTTTGTTGGTTCTTTTGTCACTTTACAATGCTTCGCGATTATCTTTCTTTGGTTTTTTTATTTTGTTTACCATAGCATCCATCTATTCATAATAATTACCGCAATGAATTACTAATATCTCCATTTAAAACATGTCTATCAATTAGAGTCTCTGATCAGAATACCTAGCAAATTTGCACGTAAGAAACCCAATATGTGTTGGGACAGGTCTCTGATTCGGGATCAATGACAAAAGTCTTTGCACTGTATGCCACAAAAGGCATTGATCTCATTCAAATAAGTGAGGACATGAGGACACCACTGGATAAGATTATTAATCTCTTACTTGCTTCTGGTTCTAAATTCTCCACCCAACGGATCATAATTATTATGTTTACAATATTTTATAAAAACAAAAAATTGATGATGATTCAAATAGATCAATGGGTCGGAAACTTAAGAATATAGAATACGTATAATTATAAAAGTATAGTGACCAACATTTAGCATTGACTTAGTGATAATTGACCGGCCCGATTTTAATATGATTGCTTGCATTTCTGGTAACTGTCCACAAGACCCGCAGCTTTTAGCTGTGCACTAAGATATGGGACACCCATTCATGCTGCCAAGGTATTATAAATTGTTTTTTTTGTTGCATCCATACAATTTAGGTATCCCAAGGAACTTGCCTGCACAATGAACATTGCAACCCAGACACAGTAAATGTTTTTCTCCATAAAATAACACCATGAATTAGTATGCATTACAAAATTCCAAATCACCTCTTTCCATCCCTTTCTAACTATTAGTTTCATATGAATATCTAGTTATCTACATCAAGCTCACCAATTGTTAACATATTAATACTAGCTACACGCCATTTTCAAGGGCTAACGCGAACTTAAACAGTTAATGAGTCCACGAACCCTGAACGAAATTTTAAGCATTAGAAAAAGAAAAGCAGAAAAATAACCAAAGCCACATCCACCTACCATCAGACACTGTTCCACAAAGGAGGCCATATTTCCATCCAAATTCATGTTGAGTAGGTTCTCAGGACAGAAGAAAAGGACGTTGTTGAACAGGAAATATGAAGAGATGGAAAGTCAGCACCGATCACGAGTTATTGCCATGATCTATTCGGCTGCTTACTCTAGAGCATAGAAACAGGAGAAGATAGAGAGTCAGCACCTATCCCGTGTCATTCCCATGGTCTATTTGGCTGCTTGCTCTGGCGCACTTATTTTCTTTCAATCCTCTACCAAAGCCTCATTATGCAGAGGAGGCAATGAGTATATGCTTACAGTTGAACTTCCACCTCTAATCTCTTTCAAGGTATGCAGTGCTGATGTAGTTAGTTTGATGAACGTGTTCTCCATATTTTGGATATCAGCAAGTTCTTTGGGAACCTGCTCCAGTGTCTCTTTATTTTCGTTAGCAGTCATGGAGCCACCCCCATCTTCCTCAAAATCCTCGCTAGTTGATAAGGATGGTCCTAGAGGCCCATTCTTGGGGAAAAGAATACTTAGCATCACCTCACACTCCTTTACAAGCTTGTTAAGTACATCAGTTTTAAAGAAGGGCTGGTTCAAGACATCTTGAATAAAAGGTAAGCGATGTAGTGCACCGGTTCGCTTATCATATTTCTTAATTATCTTCACTAGACCTGCACAAAAAATGGGAGATGAGGTAGAAGAAAAAGCAATCATTCTAAACATTCATTTTTAAAAAACCCTCCTAATCCAAGAAATTCTCTTTTAACTTTGATCCATGTTATAAAAGATTCGATTCAGTTTTATGTTGGCTGACAAAACATTCTACAGGTCATCAAGCCAATTGTAAGTGTAACTTATTGAGAAGAATAACTCAGTGATATATTGAATCAGAAGAGTATTTATAGAACTCGGTTTAAAAAAAGCTGAGTCTTTCAGAACAAAATACAATAGTAAATCACTTTTTGAATAAAAAGTTCAGTAGTTATCTGTATGGATTTCCAGAACATGTTACAAGAGAAACAGAGTATTCAAAAAAAAAAAAAGAATTAAGAAGCAACAGAAGTGGTAAACCAAAAACAAAAAAACACAATGGACTTGAAATCAATTATGCAAACAGTCCGTTCCATGGCTTGCCAACAGTTTCCAATAGGGTTATCCAAGAGTTAAGACTATAATCAATCTATGATTCCCTCATAAATTCATCTGGCTATACATCTTAATAAAATAAAATACCATTTGATATTTTGTCTTTGATTTAAACTATGACTATTTAATCCTTAAATATTCAAACTTGTTTCTCGTTGGCCCTTTCATTATCTGTGGTAGGGATTGACATGAAACAAGTTTAAATAGTTAAAGGACTAAATCATACACACACCTTAAATACGGATTGAATTGTGAGGTATACTTTCAAAGACCAAAATACCATTTTACTCCATCTTATACGAGTCAATATATGTTGATACTTAATACTATCCTTATCCTATAATGAAAATGGAGTCTGACAGTTAAAACTCATGCACAGGTTCATAGAAATACCTGTGTAGTTAAGTGAACTATAGTTCTCTAACAAAACCATCTCTCCATGAAAATCTACTATTTCCCTCCCTACTGACATCAACTCTACATTTGAATCCTTGGCCCACGCAACTCTGTCTTGCAATTCCTGCAATCACAAACATAAATAATCTATCTTAGGTCAAATGGAAAATACTTGATCCACATATCCAGGAGTCACATCTCACATCAGCTGGGGTCACAAAATCAAAGCGTGTGCATAAATTACATACAGATATGAGGTGATGTATATGTAAGTGTCTGTAACTAACATTACTCCTTAAAAATATGTGCCAACTAAAGCTTAGAGCATTTTCCTTCCATCGTAAAAACATATGGTACAAAGAATTAAAGGCAAAACGAAATATAAATTTCTTAACAAAATGAAACTTAAGACATGCTCAACTAAATGTATACCTTTATGTTCACATGCTAAAATCTAAAGTATAACTCATATCCTCCAAGAATAACCATATGCTGAACAACAAAGAAATTCTAAATCATCAAGTATAATGACCCATGTTTAATTTCATTAGTCTTCGAATGTTAATTCATATTATATTATATCAAAATTCAATTTTTAAATCATTCATTATTCAAATTCTAAAAACTAAAATACCATTTTACAGGGGATTTTTTTTTTTTTCAAAGGGATAGAATAGATGATATAACGTGAGACGTGAGTTTACCTTCCATTTGATGATATATTCTTCTTCATTCTCAACAAAGAAAGCATTGAACTTATCAATCTCGAGCTCCAAGAGCTTGAGGAAATCGTTGACCTCTTTGGTGACCTCGCCTTCGGCTTCGGCATCATCCAAACGGCGCCGTTTGCTTGAGGGGTCTTTCGGTTTCGGGGTTATGAGCTTCAACTGTTTTTTCAAATCTTTGTAAGACAGAAACTTGTCGCGCCAATCGGGCAGGGTTTGCTCGATCTGATTGCTCAGAATCTTCCAGAACTTCATCGTCTCAATTCTCCGACCAACAACAACGTTTGGATTTGGAGATCGTTACGTTCCTGCGATGGATAAATGAACGAATGAACGGCGATGATGGAGATAGATTATGATGCTGTTTGTTATGTTTTGCGGTTTCGGAAATTGGATTAGTGCGCAGCGAAAAGTGGGAGAGAAGCGGAACTGGAAGCGCGGATTAATAACTAAATAAAGGGTGTTTGGGTTCCGGATTTAGAATATTCCTGCGCAGGGAATGTGGAATTTTGGAATATACTTTCATGTTCCGACATCCCATTTTTATAGGTTTCATCTACGCCGTCCATTGTATTAGTTCTACCTTGTTATGTGTGTAGCAAAATCGGTACAACGCATGTACCCAAAATCAAAATAAAAAATTAATATCCACCGAGTTTTCACTTGTTTCATATAACGTGCTTAGAGTTGACTCCAAATGGTTAGATTCCTTGTGCTATATCATAATTGCATTTATATATTATTCATTGATATAACCAATAGCTTTGAACATATTGATAGTCTTAACTACAACAAATTAATATTTATTTCAAATACATGTAAAATGAAGAAATTAATGGGATCGTCGCACTTGCGATATTTTGAACAGATAAAATAGAAGAAAATACTTAAATCACGATGTTAAAATTAGCAATGCCTTTAACAAATAATTTTTTTTGCTTTGTTTCTAATAGACACGTACAGGACAATATAATTATAGTGTAAAATCTTATACATATGACGTACAAGACGAGGGACATGAAATGTTTCACGGTGATAAAGGTGGATCCAGAGAAACTGTATGATAGGATGAGCTGGTAATTTCTCGGGCGAATCTTGGGAAGAGCGTCAGATTCCAGAGAAACTCCGTGGAGTTATTATGGTAGCAGAGCTTCTACCGAAACCAACAAACTATGGAATGGAAAAAAATGGAGGAGTTCCTTCCATCTAGGGGAGTTCGACAAGGTGATCCTTTGTCCCTATATTTGTTCCTCATCGACACGTAAGAATTAATGCACATCATAGAAACAGCAGAGGCAAGGGGCTTATGGGAACCAATATGAGTAGGTCAATCAGGTCCAAAGCTTTCCCATTTGATGTTTGCTGACAACTAATGTTGTTTGCAAAAGCCTCCATGGATTAATTGAGCAACATCCATAAATGTATGTCTTTCTTTTAGGAGATATCTGGTCATAATATTAGTGGCCAGAAAACTAGCATTTTCTTCTCAAAGAACACGCTTGAGAACATAGCCAATGCAATTACTGAATCTAGCGGATTCAAGCGAGTTAGGAATGTAGGTAGATATCTTGGGGAGTGGAAGCAGCATGGGAGGGTAACAAGAAGTTCATACAGTCATGTTGTGGATCGTGTGCATGAGCGTCTTTATAATTGGCAAGCCAAGTCCTCTCACAGGCAGGTAGAGTCACTCTGTCTCAATCGGTTCTTTCTTCAATCCAATACTTTCAAATGCAGAATGGAAGAATTCCCACGATAATTTGTCAAGAGCTAGAAAAAATTCAAAGAGGCTTCATTTGGGGGGAGGTGGATAACCAGCGCAAACAACATCTTGTTAATTGGGAGACTATTACCAGCCTAAAGTCTATAGGGGGCCTAGGAATAAAAAATCTTGAGGTAATGAATAAGGCATTTTTGACAAAGATCGACTGGGCAATAGTTGATAACCCCCAACTGTTAGGGGTTCGCTTTCTTTCTGCTAAATGTTGATTCCAAGCGATAAGTCACAACCCATTTGTAGCCAAGGCTGAGGACTTAAGATTGTGAGTGAGCATGTGTCATGTTTGGAATAAGCTGCAAAACCATCTTTCTTGGGAGTTAGGGGATGGAAGCAAGGTTGAGTTTTAGCGTGATATATGAGGACCTTTTGACTCCAAGCTCAGTCAATTAACCTTTAACCTTGTCCCTAAACAAAAGACCAACAAGAAAGTTATGGAGTATGTCAAAGAGAACGGGGATTGGGACACAGATAACTTATCCAAGTGGCTTTCAAAAAATATAATCCAAATTATTCTCAGTTTCCTCCTTCCCTATCCGTCAGATGGAGCTGACAAAAGGAAGTGGAAATTGATTAGTTCATAGAGATTACAGTAAAAGCCTTATATGCAACTTTGAAATCAGATTCTCCTATAAGTGAGTTTGAGCCCTCACTGACTGCCCACTAGAGTGTGGAGTGCTTGTTGGAGCTAATATGACACGCGCTGCCCATCTTGTTTGGATAACAACGAATCCACAATTCATGTAGCTAGGGATTACCCACAAGTTAGATGCATCTGGGACGCTCTATTGCAAAATGAAATTTAAGAGTGGTTCTATCAGGTTAATGGTGTGTCATGGCTACGTTGCAATTTTGTCCAACATGCAGAGCTATTGGCATGATGTTCCTTGGCAGACCGTATTTATGGTGACCAATTTGAGAATTTGGCATATTTGAAACCAAAAGATATACCACAATAGATGATGGGACGGAAATTCATTCCCACCTGAGCTTATATTATTGATAAAAACGCATTCGTTCCATTACCTCGCGTCCATTTTTGCTGTTAAAAGACGTTTCCAGATCATGAGAACGAAAGTACCAGAAAGGGAACAGATGTTGACATAACCACTGATAAAGGAAGGAAAAGGGGGAACAAATTGACTTATTTCTACACCTGCTCCACTAACTTCTCCTCTGACCATTTTGCAAGAAAAGCCTGAAAAGAAGCTCCTAAAAGCAGAGGGAGAATGCAGCAATCAAGCAACAGGAAGCGTGTACAGCAGAGAAGGAAGAGTGTTCATTAGTCTAAAGAAAGAAAAAACATGTGGGTTTCAGAATAAAAAGGCAAAATTCAACTCTAAGTTGTCTATTCGAACAACTTGCCTCATCTGTGAGAGCAACAGTCCACCGCCTCTGCAAGCCAACACGGGACAGCTGATGAAGAATCACAAGATTTCCATCTCCTTCCTCAGCCTACAAATAGAAGAGCCCCAGACGAAAAGAAAGGCGGATTCCTTAAGAAGCGACCATAGATTTTATAGTTTAAGTTTCAGTTTTGTAACTTGTATAGTTCTAACAATAGCTAAGTGACAATATCCTTCTCCCCAATCTCTTTCAATATTTGAGACTCTTCACGGGCAACTTTCCATACTTCTCCATTTTGTTTCATATTATTGTAAAAACTTGTGGTTATTAATATACGTCTATTATTTGTTTTTTCTTCCATTCGTTCTCTTCACTCTGAATCTCGAGTCTATGGAATTTCAGATCGACATAACTATGTTTGTGTTTTCAGCCATGGGCTAAGTTATTTTGGAATGGAAAAACTATGAAGTTCTTAAAGAACTATGTTCAAAACTCTTGCACTGAACCTTTTGTATTTATATGATTCAAGTAATTTTAATTCTTTGGGTATCAATGAAAATTGAACGCAAACTGAGAAAGGAACTCCCTTAAGGGAGGGATTTCAGACAACTTAATCATAGGAGGAAGGTAAGATTATGGAAGCAATCTTACTGGTTGCCTTAGGAATAAGGAACCACCTTGTTCCCTGAAGGTTCTTTACTTAGTAACTGTTGGAGTCAAGGGTGTCATAGGAATATGAAAACTTGTGAGCCATTTAGTCCATGAGATAAGGAATCAGAGTTGGCAGTGAAAAGACCTGAACAAATTTAGAAGGGTTAAGTCTTGAGTTGAGAACATAACTATTTAAGAATGAAACAGTGGATTCGTTCCTTGTGTTAAAATCTATTTTTTCTTAATCATTTCACCTTGTTGTCTCTTAATTATTATTAACTTTAAATTCTGCATTTAATATTCTGTTATCACAACACCAAACCTCCCATGATTTTGTCGTTCCTCTTAAAATCAAGAAGGATTTAATATATAACGACGCGAGGAGTTGTTTAGAGTCAATCTGAACCTACTATCTTAAGGGAACGTCCTTAAGATACTAGGGAACGAAAAGCCAAATAGTTCAAAATTGTTCTTTTATTCATTTCAAATTCTTTTAGATTAGTTCAAAATATTATTTAAAGTTACTATCCTCGTGGGAATGATAATTTGGGCACTAATAATCTCACTTATTACTTGATGCATGCACTTGCACGACTGGGTCAATATCTTGAGAACGAATGTGTTTTTTCTTGATAGACTAAGTAAGGGAAAGTCCTTCAAAGCACCTAGCACCCAACAATAGAGAAATTAGTATTTGAGTATAAGTTCAAATGTTGTGTAACATCATTAAAGAGATCCATAAGGCTATTACTTTAAAGCAAAACCAGTTACCCCCCCCCCCCCCCTCGTATATAGAGGCATATATTAAGTGACATCCTCCTAAACATGGACCCATTAAAATTAATACAGATGGAGCGTCAAGAGGTAACCCAAGTCCTGCAGCTTGTGGAGGGGTGATTAAGGACAATGGTGGTAGATGCTTGGTTGGGTTCGCAAACAGAGTGGGTATTTGCTCGGCTCTAACAACTGAGTTATGGGGCATCTTGACTGGATTGGAATTGGCTTAATATAGATGTTGGAGAAATATGATCTTGGAAAATGACTATGCTAATATTGTCACTATGCTCACTAGGAAGTGTGATGCTGCTCATGAGTCTAATATGGTGACTTGAATATGAGCATAGTTAACTAGAAGCTGGGAAATGTCCTTGGTTCACATCTATAAGGAGGTGGACTGCTGCGCGGATTAGCTATCAAATCTGCCTCTCGATCACTCAGACATGGTTGATAGGTGTTGCTTCCCCCTTCGGGATAGTATTTTGATTCAAGCTGATTTAGCTCAGGTGTCTAGAACTCGTCGTATTATAGCTTGTTAATTTCATTTTGGGGGATTCCCTTTTTTTCTACCAAAAAAAAAATTAAATGAATAAATAAAGACAAATACTTATATTCATAGTTTTTTTAAGCAATATTATTACTAAGTATATGTGTATTTTAAAAAAAAATAGTAGACATTGTTATTTACCTTATGTTTTGGATCGGCCTTCACGACCCAACTATTGGATCGATTTGCAAAGGTTCATCAAGGGATCACTCTTATGCCTCCCTGTAAAGATCACAAAGACCTCATCATATAGGATATCTCTCTCTTGCACAACTCACCATCATACACACACAATGATGAAGTAACTCCCCACTGCGCTAATGAGGAATTGACTAACGGTTAGGCTGACCTCTCTCTCATCATTAGGGAATATTTTCCACCTATATAAG